TTTGGGCCGACTCCAAACCCATCCAGCAGAAGAAGAGGTATATGGCAGCCGAACGACGTGTTTTCATCAAGACTGAGACTGGGACGCTCCTCAGCATATATGCATCCATCACATCCGGCCGGTCATCCACGTGAAGTGATTGACAAATGTGGTCGTGGCCCCAAAAGGCAACACATGGCGGATGTGCATCGACAGTTTTATCAAGACATTTTCACTAAGGCCCTTGGCAAACGACAATTTTACTACCTTCTTGGCAAGTTGGACATTTTGGATCCGCGTGCTCCAACTTAAAAGAAGTGTTAACGCACGTGTATATAAAATATTTGTAATTAGGCCGAACTGTATTTTAATTGGGCCAAATTTATTTATTTAGCCTAGTTTAGAATAGGGCAACATGCAAACATGTATATATGCAGATGTACTGGCTCGTTAGCAGCATATCAATAGTGAATATTATTTTTCCATATTAGTGTTTAAATCCAATACCTACTTTAACTTTTTGAGTCAAACTTGTTAAACTTCGACCGCTAATTACTCAAAATTAATACTCCATCCGTTCTTAAATGTTCTTCCAAATTAAAGTGGCACGGTGATTAAGAAAGTGAGAATTGTGTGGTGGAGAGTTGTGCAGAGGAGAGAGAAATGATGTGAACCACAAATTTTTTGCCATAAAGGGAACGTGAAATTCTTTTTAGGACAGACGAAAAGGGAAAGTTGGAAGTAAATTCAGGGACGGAGGGAGTAATATTTTATCCCTAAAAAATTATTTAATGTGATTCTTTGTAATATGTATTATATTATTCAAATGTCAATTTATAATAGATTTATAGGTACATATTAATAGATAATTACGGTCAAACATCTACCTAGAAGACCGCAAAAGTCAAAGTATGACAAACATTAACGGACAGAGGAGTATTTTAGTGTATACTAGAAGTGTTCAACAATACAATTTTTTAATTAATGACCAATATATAGTATTACTCGTATTAATTAAAGAGTGCAGGGTAAACAGTGGAATGATAATACCAGAGTAAAGTTGTGGATTTCAGTCATTTAACTAGTAGAAAACTGTTACACAGCAATGTCAAACGCAACAAGACAGAATAAGAAATACGGAGTATTTTAAATTTTAATACTCCCCCGTAGGAAAATAGTCATTTAGATTGTTAGAAGAATATCTTCAGAATTTGTTCTCTTATGGTCTGCTTCGCCTTTTTTTGTCGGACCGACTTCCAAAGAAAGCTCCCAAATGATTTCTGTTTTCTTTTCCGAGTTCCCCTACATCGCACAAGCACAAGTAGATTTTGTGTGCCCCATATATAGATAACAAGTGTAAAATTTTGGACAAGTGTTATGCATGTTTTATTAAATACGGAGTAATAAATAGGCTATGATACATAATAGAGAATAATTGTCTGTATACAAAATGGGTACAAATATTATTTTCCAAACTCTATATTTAGGGTGACATGTTTTAATACATTTAGCATTTCAGCACTGCACCCTCAAATTTTAAAAACTCACTCCATAAATTAAATACATTAAGTTATTCAAAGGTCCTGAAATACGGAGTATATAACGAGTAAAAATAAAGTGCTTTTTTCAAATAGAAATATTAAGTGTTTTGATAATTTTGTATTTCAACACGTATTTTATGCGCATTGAAATTGATTTTTGTACAATTTATCTAGCTAAAATGAGTCACATATAGACTATATAGTGCTAACTTAACTCAAGATATGATTTACTGAGTTTTCTTGTGTATTTGGTATTTTTAGTGTGATAATTAGAAAATTGAACCAAACACCTGCATTAAAGACTTTATTGGATGATTGGAGATACTTTGTTGGTCAGTTATGGAGAAAAGAGGGTTCACCAATATTGGCCGTGCACAGAACCGTGCGTGGCTAAAATACGCCCACAATGTTAGATTTTTGTATTTAAACAAGTTTTAAACCCTTATTTTGGGGTTAGAGAGTTTAAAGACAAGCTTGGTGACAAGTTTCCTAAAGTTTTTCATTTTTTTCTCAAGGGAAAATTATCAAATAAGCCCCCGTACTGTACCGAAAAAGTCGATTAGACTCTCGTACTTTACAAACACTCAGTTAAGTCCTCAAACTATTAAAAAACATTCAATTTAGCCCTTTTGGTCTGTAAGTAACCAGTTTCCCGGTTAAATGTAACCCATTTCCCGACAGCCGCCGTTGCTGGGGTTCGAGCACATCGTCGCCGTCGTCGCCATTTAACCGAGAAACCGGTCACTTACCGACCAAAAGGGCTTAATTGAACGTTTTTTAATAGTTCGAGGACTTAATTGAGTGTTTGTAAAGTACGAGGGCCTAATCGACTTTTTCGGCATAGTACGTGGGCTTATTTGATAGTTTTCCCTTTACCTAAAGTTTTTCATCTTTGAATATTCAATATTTTGGGAAAGTTTGTAAGTTCTTTAATTTCTTTCAATTAATGAAATTGATCAATCAGCTGAATCGACTCATTCAGTTGAAATTTATGAATTTTTATTGAAGTGACTCGATTGACCGATTCTGGTGATTTATAAAAAATAACATTTAAAATGTTTTTTTAATTTGTTATTAAAATAAAGAAAAAATATATGTAAAAATAATCAAAATGAATCTTTACACTAATTTGAACCAATACAACCAGGAAAGTAAGTTCAATCTTAACTTTTCTTATTATTACACAATTTGGAGCACAAAATCAAAATTTATTTGTTCTACACCCAATCCATTAGAATTGAACTTACTTTCCGAAAAACAGAGATTGTGAAAATTTATGTGTGAAAATTTATCTATATATAATATAATAGCATAAGGAAACTTACTCTGCAAGTTCCCGCCCAAAATTTCGCAGTAAGAGACGTCCGTGTATAGCAATTGAGACGAGAGGTGTTTAATTTGGCCAATTCGAGACGTGTAAATTGTTACTCCGGCAATGTTTAGTGCCCCAAGGCCATATATGTATTGATAAACGGACAGTTTCTAATTTAATGCTCCTTAATTTATTAGAGAAAACATTAATTATGAAGACTAATTAATTAAGAACGGGACGCTTCATTGCCCCATATTCACATGATGCAGCACGGCAGCAGTAATTAATATAGGGGCTCTCAATTGAGGCTTCATCAATTCTATATGTAAGAATGTAAGATTATAAGCCATATAATGTTTTGGAGCGTTGAACATACGGAGTAGTTCTTTGTCATCAACATACCTTTAGCACAACAGTACAACACACACATTTGACACATATGTATTCAATTAAAAATGGTTGGTTAGTCGATAACGAAAATAGATCAAAACATTTCGTAAAAAAAAATAGATCAAAGCAAGTCTACATGGGCAGAATATTAAAGTACGAACGTGCATGCCATAGGTACGTATTTACAAGGTTCACCCATATGATTCTTTTCCAGCTTCTATAGGAGGCGTCATGCATGTTTCATGATGATAAGGTAAAAAATTGCTCTTCACATAATTCTGTTCTAATGTGATATTTTCTTAATTGAGTCTAATAGCTATTTTAATGTATTTAGGGTAAAGGTTCGAGACATAATGAGAACCAGATTGCCAAGTCTTATGTACCTCATATGAGGGAATATTTAACAATGTTGTTCTAAAGGTATATATGTTGATGTAAGAAAACGAAATTCAAAATAATCAAGGACGACTTGGGACTTAAGTTGTACGATAGTATGAAGGAAGTAGTATTATCTTTTTCCATTTTCTACTCTACAACAGAAAGACCAAAATTTGAAAAAGTCACGTCATTCAATAACATATGGGTTAGTTGACGCCTGAAGGAATTGATGGCCAGTAATGCAGAGCAATTTAATATTTTAATTTACTTGATACGGATTGTTTAGTACGGAGTATTAGAAGCTATCCATTGAAGTAAAAATAATACGGAGTAATTCAAAATAATGTTTCTTATTAAGTTTACGTCTGCAAGTGAAATCCTTTTGTGATTTGAATTGATTCTTTTAGTGAAAGTTTTATCACCTTCAGAGAAGACATGCATAGATCAAGTACAAAGCATATTCGAGTGGTGATTATAATTCGACGGTCATAATATTACAATGTTGTCATACACTCATACACATAAATAGTTATGAAGGTTTTCAGCTCAAAAATTCTAAAATATGCTCTGTAATATGTACAGTTATGACTATGTATCCGATATTCTGATATGTATGATGTTATTAAGAGTTTTGGGTAGTGCACAGATCAGAGGATGATTTTTTTTGTGACAATTCCGGTATCTTTCTAAAATATGAGTTACCGTACCTATCATTCATTTGATTGGACCACATCACTATATTATTTTTAATTTAGATTTAAATAATTCAACTGCTACATTCTCATTGGTATATGTGGACAAAGGTATGGTACCTTATGGGTACCATAGAATCTACCTTTTTTATAACATCAAAGGATCATTTATTATCCACCTTTTATAATATTTAGACTCAATAAGCATAAAGAATTAGCTATTTGAGAAAAGAAAATTTAATATACAATGTTCAGATAAAACCGGAGAACAATATTATGATAAAAGTTAAAATCAAATTTAGTTAATCTTATACGGAGTATATTTTCCAAGAAAATGATGAAAGGTAAAACAATTTGATAAAATTGAAAAATAATTTTATATTACAAAAATTTGACGCTTAAAGAAAAAGCATTGAATAAATATAATACTCCGATCCATATGTCCTGTTCAATGGTTTTTAATTTTTTTGACGTCTCAACTAAAGATATTCAATTGCTATTTTAAGAAACAATTAAAATTCCTAAATAACAATTTAAATATCAAATTAAAAATAATACATCTAATTTTACAATTATCATGAAGTATTATAAACATATCATTACATATTAACATGTCTTAAAATATAATCGAATGATCATATTTAATCATTGTAAATGTGTTACGGAGTATTTTTTAATAAGAACCTTTGAACATGAACTAGCAGAATTAAAACATCTCCCTTTGCGAAACACAAAGTTTGACTTGAGTATATATGTGTTAATCTAAAAAGTAAAAACTATTGTATGTGCGGGTTGAGTGGAGGGTTTGAGTCGGGTTCAAACCATCCAAGAATATCTCACAAATCTTTAGCCGATGCATCGATAACATACAAAAATAAATAAAAAAATTACAACAACAAAACATCATAAACATCATAGTGTCGGTTATTTATCAAAGTCTAAGACTATTGTTTAAATGAAAAGCATAAAAGAAGAAGAGAGAGACAACTAGACAATGGAGATGAGTGTGGAGACGGGAGATATTTTTTTTGTAAGTCATATTTATTTATCAAATTGAATTCTTTATTTCCAAATCAATTTATCATTTTTTACATTAAAAATGACTTCAATTTATAATTACAGTTTTTAAAAAATTACTAGATTTCGTCCGTTAAAAATTTATTCTTATTTATACTTTCTGCATTGCCTATTGAGCATAATATTTGAGCAATATAGTCCCTCCGTGCATCACACGAGTGAAATAATAGTTTATCTAAAAGAAATATTTGTGCTTGCCCATGCACCCTACCTCTTACTCATGACCGCGCCCGTATTAAATACAACTACATGGAAAGTACTTCACCTTTTCAATCTTATGTACCGTAATAAGTTTACTCTCGCCGAGGAATGGGGCTTATGGAAACATAAATGTAGCTAAGTAAGTACTACTCCCTCCGGTTTTTATTAAAGTTCCCAGTTTGACTTCACACAGATTAGGAAAATAAATTTGACTTTATTGTGGAGTGCATTGTTTGGCACTGTTTGGACACTGTTTGGCACTGTTTTGCATTGTTTTGTTTCCTAAAATGGAAGTGTGAACTTAAATAAGGGACATCCCAAAAAGGAAAGTGAGAACTTTAATAAGGACCGGAGGGAGTACTATATTACTAACTGACACGATTAGTATATATTAGTATACATTATGGTGTGGCGTTTTGTTAGGCCGACCTGACACAATCCGTCGTCTGGCCAAACCAGTTTGAGTGCCTTCTCGGTGAAATATTTCGAGCATGTTCTTCATCAAGTCTAGTTTATTCATACCAAATTTCAGCTAAAAACTCAATTGGGAAGGCAGTTCAATAAATTATTTTAGAACATTGCGCAGTTAATATATATAAACAACGCAGTATTTTTCAAAAAATCATTTTACTACCTTCCCGGTTGAATTTTTAGCTAAAATTTGGTAGGGATATACTAGACTTAATGAAAAATGTGCTCAAAAAATGTAATTGAAAAATTCGACCGGGAACACCCTCAAACGGGCTCGGCAGGATGGCTTTCCCGGTCAGGCCGGCCTGACATGAAGTTTCCTCAGACATTATGTTCTTTTATTATACTCCTTCCCTTCTTTATTAAGTGTCCACTTAGGCTTTGGCACGGGTTTTAAGAGGAAAATAATAGAAATAAGTAACATGTGTGGTGGTTTGTGTTTAAATTAATGATGAAGTAAGAAAGACAAAGGAGTAAGAGTAATAAAAGTGATCAGGATAAAAAGATATGTTGAATGTTGATTGAAAAAATTTACGAAAAAAAGAAAGAGGAACAAATAATTAAAAACGTCGCAAAAGGAATACGAGATAGTTAATAAAGAATTGAGGGAGTATATTTTAAAATCGGCTGATTCTGTTGAAATTTATGAATTTCTGGCTGACGTGTTTGTATTGGCTAATACTACTGATTTATGGAAAAAATATTTGAACTACTGCTAATAAAATAAAGAAAAATATATTAGCAGTAGTTGAACTATTACTTTTTTTGGGCTGTATTGGCTAATAAAATAAAGAAAATATACTTCGTATATGGAAAAATTGCTAAAATGATCATTTACGGTAACCTCAGCCAATACCGCCACAAAAGTAACTTCAACCTTACTTTTTTTACTATTACACAATTCAGCACCCGAAATCAAAAGTTGAATGTTTGGTTAAAAAGTTGTCTAATAAGCCTGATAATCCGAAAAACAGAATTACCTAATTAATAACATGTAATTTTCAAGAATGTTAAATGGTGGCGGGGATGGAAATATTTAATTAATGTATATTTCTTAAGAATTTTTGTATGTGAAATTACGTGGTACACATCTTAAAAATATAAGGATGTTTTTACTTGGATTGTTTTCAATCTCAGACCAAACCAGACTTAAATATATCAGATCAAAGAAAACCAGACACTTAAACAGATTAGACTACACTTCCATAGTTATAAAATACACATAGATCAGTTCGTACTAGACCACATGCACTTGTTTAGACTAAAATAGACTAGATTTAAACAGACTAGATCATACTAAATCTATATTTATGTGCATATAAATTTCTTTTTGGTACCTGATAGCAATAGATGGCCACCAGGGCGATAAGGAAGATCAATATTATTGGATTGGGATTCTCTGCCTGTCTTTGGCAGCCAGGTAGGGTGCGTGGCTATTACAGCCACCCGATTCACTCTCCCTCTTCCAGCAGCTCTCTTCTTATCTGTTGCTTGCCGTTGGATTGCCGCAAGGCACCTCTGCCGTGAGGCAGAGGATCCAAATCCAATATTATTATGAACTCTTCTGGCATTTTTGCAGTAGCTAGTGATGATTCACAAGAATTGTCACTCCAAATATTTAGTTTATTGTACCACAATCAATTCGATAGGTCGACCTCATATACTCCGTATTTATAGATAAATGGACAGACACAGAGTAGACAATGTTAGTTTTAAAGCATCTTTCCAATCACTTTTAAGCTCTTTCCAGCCTATACGAAGAAAGTAAAAAAAAAAAATTACTTCTTCTATAACAGAGCATACGTATGGCCTTACGTATTCATGCAATTTTACGTATGGCCTTACGTAAGAGGACAAAAAAGTGGCCGGTGAGTAGGGGCGGACCCAAGAAATTGATATTGGGGGGGCGACAATTTAAACAAAAAAAAATCTAGGCAATTATTATTATAAGTTATAACCTTAATATAATACGGAGTAGTAATTAAATGAAGCATTATAATAGAAGAAGAGACAAATATATTATTACAAAATAGTTAAAGTTAGTACCTTAGAATTGTACCCAACGCTTCTTCAACGAGATAAATTCCTCAATCACGACTTTTTAGTCAAAAGTTTTAGCAATTTCTCCTTCAATATAAACAATAAGGTTGTCTGCAACATACTCTTCCTCCATTTTATTGCGAAACCTTGTTTTTATAATTTTCATTGCGGAAAAAGTCCTTTCGGTTGTTGCTGTCGAAACCGGTAGAGTCAACAAAAGTCGGATCAATTTATCAACAAGCTAATAAAGTACACTTTTGACATCTCCGTCTCCGCTAATCTTTGACAAAATTCACCCATTGTAGAAAAATTCGCCAACTTTGGATGGTTTAGAACATTGAGCTTATAATGTTGCAATTGAAACCTCAAGCTCACCTTCTCCTGCTCAATAAAATCAAATGGGTAATATTTATCCACTAAAGAACAGATATCATCAATGTTAAAAGACTTATATGAGTCCTTAGGATCCAAAGCACCACTAAGAGTAAGAAGATCCATTATCTGTTCACCAAATCTGCTATTCAGCTCCAACAATTGTGAATCTATGACTGCGTAAAACATATCAACCCGATAGTGTCGTTCAATATCAAACCCTTCTTGATCATGGCGTTTGCATTTTACCGCATAAGGAGACTTCATATTAGGAACTTCAATTTCATGCTTTGTGCAAATTAAAACTCTTTAACAATTTCAAGAAGTTATCCCATCCACCCTCCCTTAACTTTTGGATCAACATTTTGGTGCTTAACACCAAATGCATAACATTTACTATGTCTTGGCACTTCTTCTGTATATGCTGACATAGAAGATCTGTAGTGCCCACAATTTCTTTAATAAGATGCAACAAGAAAACAAAATCAAAAGATTTAATCTTCTTAAGTTCTCTAGCTGCATTTCCACGAGTAGAATAGTTATTGCCATTCTCTTCAACATCTTCTAAAACAGAACAAGTTGCAGCAAACATCCTAATCAAACTGCAAACAGAACTGAAATGCGAGCTCCAACGAGTTTCCCCAACTTGTTGTAATGTACCAACCTAATTAAGTCCTCTGCTTGTTTCAAGCTCACCAATTTCCAACATTCTTGCAATTTCAAGTGCTTGAGCTTCCTTTAATTCATCACTTCGTTTGCAAGAAGAATTAGTCACATTAATAATAAAGACTGAATCGATGAAAAAAATTGTGCACATATTTCACCTCTCTAGAAGCAGCAACCAATGCTAATTGCAACTGCTGTGCTAAGCAATGAACATAGTAGGCATAGGGACAATCATTTAAAAATAATCGATCTTTCCGTTTCTTTCTTCTAGCCTTCTAGGTGCACATGTTTTTCATTAGTTTAGTCTGGGCTGTGGGCTGGGCTTAGATTTTGGGGTGAGTTAATGGGGAATAAATTTTGGAGTGAGTTAATATAATATTACTTGTAAAATTTCTATTTTTTAGGCTCTTAAACAATTGAGTTTCTGCGAGTGAGTTATGCTTTGGGGGAGAAAATATTTTTTTTGGGGGGGGGGGGGGGGGTTCAAAAGTTTTCTTGGAGGGACGAGAATTAAATGTTGGGGGAGTAAAAATAAAAATTTTGTATATATATACACACAAAAAAAATTGTTGGGGGGGGCAACCCCCCTAGGTCTGTACTACGGTCCGCCCCTGCCGGTGAGGAATAATTAATGATTTAATATGACAAAAAGTAAACAAAAAGTGGTAATCGGTTTAATATGACAATAGAGGCCCGTTTGATAAGCATGTTTTTTGGCTTATTAATTAGTCAACCTTTTCACCAAACACATCACTTTTGATTTATTGCACTGAATTGTGTAATAAGAAAAATAAGATTGTAGTTATTTTTTTCTGTATTGGCTGAAGTAACTCAAGAGTATCATTTTAGCTATTTTTCATTTAATTTTTTTAATTTATTAATAAAATATATTTTAAATTTAATATTTTTCTTAAATCTACACAATCAGCCTATGCAGTCACTTCAGTCAGAACATCATAAATTTCAGCAAAATCAAGTGATTTAACATATCTCCATGTTAATTTACATCTCTAAACACTACTGTGTACAATTCTCCACGTGTACAACTCAACCGATGTTTTTTACTATTTTGTTCAGTACTTTAAACAAATAAATGCAGTAAAAAAAACTCATATTTTAACAAATTTGAATCGTTCAAAAAAAATTAAATTTTTTACCTATAATAATTATATCCTACAAGGCTACAAGCGGTTGTACTTTGAGCATGGTACATGTGACACCGCACCCAGATATACTTGAAATTAAAATTCAATATGTATTTGAATTTTCTAGCGAATAAAATTGTGTACAAGAATGATATACTACTATTTAATTAATTAATGATTAATTAAATTATTTATCGGGCTCATAATATTGAGAATGGACTACCAAATATCGAGTTGGGTCATCATAATATTTATAGAAGCCCAATAAACTGCAAACTAAAGTTAAGGAAAATGATGAGACAATGCAAATGCTATTTTGACCCAACCTGCCAAAAATAAAAATAATAATTGGGAGAGACTTCCTGTACCAACTTGAGACTTTTTCTACACGTGTTGAACACCCTAATTAATCAAATAAGACATGATTTGAGTGTGTGCGGGACTGATTGAAGGAGGGATGGCCAAGGACACCATCACACTCCCTAGGATCCTACTCATGCATTATTTTGATGCTTGATTAAGTAGAGTACCTCCCCTTCCTTTGACATTCATGCGCCCAACACAAGAGAGGACTGAAGAAAAACCGGGTCATTTCTTATTTCACGGGAAATGAGTGTATGGGATGTCGAATTGCGGGATAAATTTTAGGTTTTCTAAAAATACGTAAAACGAGTTTGCGAAATCCGAACGATGTAGGTTTGACCGTTTGAGTGTGAAATCAAAGAAATCCGACTACAAGAATCCGAATTGTGATTTTTGTTTTTTTTAAACCTGCTACGTACTGGCATAGCTAGATAGCTAGTTGCATGTGTTGGTTTTCCATAGGATTTCTTAGTTTTTTAGATGGTTTACATATTTTGTAAACGGGAAAACACAAATAATTTAATAAATTTTGTTAGTGGGATAAATAACAGAGTATAAGTCGTATTATTATTTTTGGGTACCCATCCAAAAGGAAAAATAAATAAAATATCCTCAACTTTCCCTCGGTGTGAACTCCCTACCCTATACTTGTCTTGTTTAAAAATGCACCCTCTACTCTTTGGGTTTGTGATACCCGTATCCTATCTTAAATTTTTTGATTTTATTTTCAAATTTACTACTCCGTACTTTATTAAATAGTTTCAGTTGGCCAAAAAGTCAACATTAGCTTACCCCTGGAACTTCTCGCTCTCTCGCTCTACCCACGCGGCCACACATTTCTTCATTAGGCTAGCCATATACTCATTATAGTATCCTATCTTAATTTTTTGATTTTATTTTCAAATTTACTACTCCGTACTTTATTAAATAGTTTCAGTTGGCCAAAAAGTCAACATTAGCTTACCCCTGGAACTTCTCGCTCTCTCGCTCTACCCACGCGGCCACACATTTCTTCATTAGGCTAGCCATATACTCATTATAGTATCCTATCTTAATTTTTTTTATTTTAACTCATTATAGTATACTCAAAAAGTCAACATTAGCTTACCCCTGGAACTTCACGCTCTCTCACTATACCCACGCGGCTACACATATCTTCATTAGGAAGCCATGAACGATTACAGCTAGCCCTGGACAAGGAAGACGATTAGGCTAGCTTCTTGTGGTGCTCTCTGCTGTCCCCAGACCTTTCTCTCTATTCCACCTCACCTTCGGCTTCCTCGCCCAAAATCTTGCATCTTCGTCTTCTTCCAAGGCCGGAGCTCGGAAGATGCCGACACTTGAATCTTCGGCTTCCAAGGCGGCTTCTTCAAAATCCCAGATTCAAAGACATTCAATTTCTGTCGGCTCGTTGTTTAAATCCTCGCTAAGCTAGTTTCATTTTCTCATGTGATTCGCCTCTCAGATACGCCGGGTTTTGCTTTTTTAGTTGGGATATGCATCGCCTTCTCTGTTTTCTGTAATCTCAAAGCTTGGAAGATGAAAGTTCTCTGAACGAGGGTTTTGAACCCTTGCCGTTGGCTTTCCAGATTTAGGAAGCACAAATGCGCCATCATATACGTGAAAGAGTAGAGGAGGAAAATAATGATCTGTATATTTCCGATGTACACTTGAACGTGTATAAATAATACACGATTTACAGAAGATAGAATTTGACTTACTGAATGCCTATATAAATGGATATGCACTATCTTATCTAGCTAATATGCATTCGTACGTATATTAATGTGTACAAATAAATAATAATAATAATAATATGCATGTAAATTATGTTCCAATAATACGGAGTACTTCGTATTACCTTTTCAAAGACTGTACAAAATAAGAAGGGTGTTGCTTCGCGCACCCCATAATTGCTTAACGTAACCACAGGCGGACAAAATTAGAACTTGTGTGCGATAGAAACATCAAATAAGGAGAAAGATCTAGAGAACTTAGCTGCAAAATGAAGACGTGAGAAGATTGGAATATGAAATCAAATTAGTCTTTCATAATTCTTGACCTACAAGCTTTGGAGGTTTAATGCACTAACGAGAGACAAAAAAAGATGGATATTGGGTCGTGCAGAGTGGAAGGAAGCGGAGGAGGCTATTTGGCCGGGAGGAGTGGGAGATTTTCAAAGGACTGGGAGTGGCTACTTTTTTGGGTTTATCTACTTCATCTTTCCAACTTTGTTGTACGATGGGCCGCCTAAGTAAATTGCGGCTAGAAATTTCCAGCTATTCCCACTTTGATTGCATCTGTTATTGTTCTTTAGAACATTTAGGCCGGTCTCACAGAATTCGCCGTCCGACCGAAGCCATCAAAGGTCCTTGTCCATTGAATTTTTTAGCTAAGATTTGACACGGATAAATTTGACTTTATGAGAAGCATGTTCAAAAAAATTTATCAAAAAGTTTCATCGGAAAGGTCCCCCAATGGCTTCGGTCTGATAACGGTTTCCATCAGGCCGGCCTGCTACAAACTACCCTCTTTTGTTGCATATGATATTCGATATGCACTTTGAGCAATTTGAACCATAAAAGCTGCACTTCAACAAATTGTCATCGATCGAAAATATACTAATTCAAATTAATAACTTGGATTAAGTATACAGTCGCATTGTTCATGTAGTAAAGTAGAACTGATCTAACAAAATATAAAAATTGTAAAACAAAAATATCAAAAATTGTACTTATTGACTATCTAACAAATCAAATTAAAATGCGTGTTAGAAAAATTAAAAGAAATGTGTGCTTCTTTCAATACTATTTTCAGATCAATTTTAGTGCCTATCTGGTAACGATGATTTTTGGTTTTGTATGCTTATAAGCCAACTTTTTCACCAAACACGTAACTTTTGGTTTCACGCACTGAATTGTGTCATAATAAGAAAAAATAAGGTTGAAGTTACTTTTATGACTGTATTAGCCGAAGTTACTGCAGATGGTCATTTTAGCTATTTTTCATATAACTTTTTCTTCGTTTTATCAGTAAGATGTATTTTAAATTACTACTCCTTCCGTCCCATTTATATTGTCCCGTTTTACCTTTTCGGGAAGTCCCACTCAAATTGTCCCATATCATATTTGGCAAAGTTTGTGTGGCTCTAAATTATTCTTACTTTATTCTTACTTTACTAATTAATATCAACCACACAAACCCACTTTTCTTACTAACCGTGTCACCCTCTTCCGTCCCAATATAAATGGGACAGAGGTAGTACATATTATTTTTCATAAATCAGCAGAATCAACCAATACAGCACATCAACCAAAACTTCATAAATTTCAGCAGAATTAGCCAATACAGCCTATTTTGACTATTACCAAACGGGCTCTTAACTACTTCATTCCAAATATTTATCATCAACTCTCTTAATGTAGAGTGAGCTTATCATTTTGTGAGTAGCATTGATAAATGATGTTATGTTAATCATACATATGAAACTTTGAAACATTTTTAAACTTTGCGCTTAACCAACATGGTGTAAGGTTGGGCTGACATAATATGTATCTCCAAGCAACTTACAATTTTTAAATTTATTCTGTTATAATCTATGTTGGTCCAAAATAGGACGCTCGTAGGCTTTTAGGAAAGCTACGTAAGGACACTCAAGCAGAAATCAGGAAAGCAATACGAATAAGGAAAGTAGCTAGAGAGTTTGATAGCCAGAAATAACTTGTCTATTATTTGAATCCAACTTGCCTTATATAGGCGATTACAAATGGTAACTGCCAAACGTTATAATGGCTAATTTAATTACCATATTAATACATAATTAATCACATAAATAAATATCGTATTAATGCCTGGCCGTTACTCTTCCCTGGTTGGCTGGCCGTTGCTCTTCCCTGGCTGGCAGGCTGGGCGCTCGGGCTCCCTGGGCGACAGGCTTCCGCTGGGCCGGAATCAGGCTCCTCGCTAGACCGAAGACAGGCTTCCGGTTGGGCCGGTAGGCAGGCCGTCTTGGGCTTCTGCTCCGCCGGACTTCCACTCCCTGATGGGCCCGGTCGGTTGGGTCGACCTGATATCTGATCGCTGGGTTCACTAGATGGGCTTGCCTGGCGAGACAACAGCCGTGGGCTTGGGCCCGCTGATCCAAGTTTGGGGCCAAGTCTGATTAGGCATTGGGCCTAGTCCCATAATCCCATCACGAGTCCCCCACTCCCTTAGTCGAGTAGTAGACTCGGCTAAGAGGGAGTAGTCCAAGTCAGCCGTCAATTAGAAAATATTCACATACCAGTGAGCAATAATTGCGGATTCTGTCAAATCCACAATTTATGGAAATTTTCCAATTTTAAATAAAGCTCTCAGCTTAAAAAGGCTTCAAATTAATTCCCTCAGCATCCCAGCATTCCAACAGTCAGCTTTCTTCCAGGCTTCAGAATCCAGGTCAGCTTCCGAAAATTCCTGAAATTCATCATAATTATTTTTTTTTGTAATTATTTTCGGACTAAAATTTTTTTTCCCTTTTTTTTTTTTCTTTTCCCCTTTTTTCCTTTTCTTTTCTTTCCTTTTCTTTTCTTTTCTTTCCTTTCTTTTTCTTTCCTTTCTTTTCTCTTCTCTCCCCTGGTTCCCTGCGTGCGTCTTCCTCGCGTCGCCCGCACTGCCTCAGCGCCGCAGTCAACCCAAGCAGCGGGCTGACCGCCGCTTTCCCTCCGGCGGCTCTACTGGGTCGACCCCGTCGTGCTAGGCGGCTGTCCCGCACCGTCCACCGGTCTGAGCGAGTCCGGCCTGGCAGTCCGGCACATCTGGCCGGCCGATCTGAGTGGGCTGACCGCCGTTTTTCCTCCGGCGGCTCCACTGGGTCGACCCCCGCCGTGCTAGGTGGCTGTCCCGCGTCGCCCACCGGTGACGATGCCGCCCTGGCAGTCCGGCAAGCCTGGCCGGCCGGTCTGGCCTACTACCGCGTCCGGCTGGTGTGCCTCGCATGGGCCGGCGGCCACCCCCTGCCGGTCGGCATCTCCCAGAGGTAGGCTTCCCGGCGGCTGGGCGCCCTACTTGTCCATCTCTCCGACGCTCAGGCTGTTCGGAGAGCTGCCGCCGTGTTCTCTCCCTCCTTGGGTTGGCGGAAATCCATGCACGCGTATGATGACCGGGTCCACCTTACTGCCGGCTGCCGGTGGTGTCGGTCCTCCCCCTAGTTGGGCGATGAGCCAGACTGGGTCTTCTTTCCGCGTCGCCCGGCGCTTGGTTGTTTTACTTCTTTGTTTTGCCTTTGCAGGTTTGGCTTCCCCTTCCGCTCTTGAATCATGCAAGGCATTGGGCGCCTTCCCCATAAAAACGGCGGCCAAGACTCCCCTTCAGCCATGCAAGTTGTAGCCGAGCCCCTCCCCAAGCCATCAGACTCGGGACTACCAGCCATCACAGAAGGAAAGCGTGGGGTGGCCGCGAGACCTGTGCGGGTTAGCCGTGGCGCTCGACCACATACGCCTGCGGGGGAAGCCACTGGTCAGCAGGTCGACGTCTTCCCAGAGATGGCACCAGCTAGGCGGGCCACTACTCCTGATAGCCAGCAACTGCGTGTTCCAAATAGAGCACGGGCGCAACATGTGGTCGTGTCAGATTCTGATGAGGATTCGAGTGCTCGGGAGGACCCGAATCTTTGGTGGGGCCTCGATAATAGCGGGGTGGCGAACCTCTCCCCTCATATCCAGGACGAGGACCTTGCCGTTGCCTACAGCCTGATCGGTGCCAATTGTTCATTGAGAACTCCGGAGGCTACTGAGGTACTGAGTGATCCCCCAGTCCATTACTTCGGGGTCCATATTCGCTCTCTGGAGTTAGGGATGGCCGTGCCTCTGCATCCTTTTCTGGTTCGGTTCCTTCTCTTCTTAGGTGTGGCCCCGGGCCAACTGGCTCCGGCGGCTCATATGTTCGTTGCAGCTTTTGTAGCGCGATGTGAGGATGTGGGCCTCACCCCCACAATCAGTTTGTTTTTTAGCTGCTTCCAGTGGCGCGCCTCCAGCTTTTTTGCCTCAGTTTCCCAGAGGCCGGTGAGCAAGCTATTCCGGCCGGGTTACCCTGACTCAGGTAGCCGATGGAAGAAGAGGTGGATCTGGGTGTCCGACCCCACCCTTCTGTCACCTCCATTTCAGTGGGGTGAGCGGCTCCGGAAGTGTGATCGGGTCGCCCTCTCCCCTGACCTCAAGTCATCCATCGAGATGTTGTCCGCAGGCGGTCCCCGCTCCATCAGCTCATACTTAGGTGATCGTCACTCCCTCACTTTAAGTTTGGCTACTCTGTATTTCACCTTTCTCATCCTCACATTTTTCTTCCGCAGGTGTGCCTGATAGGCCTGAGAAACCTATCGTCGGTGCCGAATCTGATGACGATGACGAAGAGGCCCAGCCATTCATCGCTCGTGCAATTCCCACAGCCACCAAGGAAAAAGAGCGTGGAGCTCCCCCAAACCGTGTAGCACAGATTCCGAGGAGGGTGAGGGTTACCTTTGGGCCTCAGCCTGTCGCACCAGCGAAGAAGAAGCAGAAGAGGGATATTGTCGACTTACTGGTCGAATTGGATGAGTCTGATGACGAGGAGGTGGAGCCTCATGTAGCCGTTGCTCCTGTGCTCCCCCAGGTCGCTGCGGGGAAAGGGCACGGAGCCCCCCCGTGCCGAGAGGGGTATGTTTTGGAGGGGGCGACTGTCACCTCGGAATTCCAATCCACCGGGCAGGTGCATGAAGATGCTGGTGAGAGGATGGCTGAGCGGGTTAGCTGCGACACTCAGCACACAGTTGCTTACACATTCCCATCTCCGAGTGCCTCGATCATGCACGAGGGCTTCCCGGTTGTGGACTATGCTTCAGCGATCTTGCCGCCGGGTGACCTCGCACGTATGACCTCCCAGGGGTTTCAACCCCTCTTGGAGGGTTCCATTCGGACCCATGTTGATGTGAGTGGCCGATCACATCTCCGGCATACTTTGTTTTACCCCTCGACTCCATCATATTTTGTTTGTTTTGTTTTGCAGGGACTTGCTAAGACCGTTGGGGCACTTTGGGCAGCCAACCACTCTCAAGCAAAGCTCCAGCGTGAGGTTGATGAAGTTAGAGCCGCCCTACAGGCTAGGGAGAAAGCCTTCTCCGAGTTACAACTTTTGCATGCAAGAGAGCGTGAAGAAGTGGCCAAGAAGGCGATTCTCGAGTTCAAGGCCTCCGACGAATTCCAGAAAATCATATGTGACAGAGTGGAAGCGAAGGAATCTGACTTAGTAAATAAGTGGCTGAAGACTGACGAGGGGGAGTACTGGCATGCTCGTGAAGTTCTGTACGCCTTTCAGAGTGGCAAGTACCTGACACAGCAGAAATTGTATGATCAGTTGGAGGGTCTCGGCCCTGACTTCTATCCATCCGTGCTAGGTCTTCCTGCCCGCATGAAGAAACCTGAGGCTGCAATAGCCCTCTTGCCCCCAGGAGTCTACCGCCAGGAGGAGGAGTCCGGTAACTCGAACGAATGGTGCTGGTCCTTTCCAAGACCTTCGGAGGACATGGTCCCCCTTGCATCCGGTCAGCAGGAGGGAGCTCAAGAGTCCGGCCAAGACTTGGTTGCCATGTTAGATGAGATTCCCGAGGCCAATGGTGATGGGCATGTCCTGCCATGACTTTGTATTTTGCATTTTCCTTGTCTTCCACTTGTACACGTGTTTTGACTGGATGTTTAATTAATTCACACATTTCTTTTCATATACTTTGCGTCGCGAATACTTAAGCAATTTAATCGGGGATCCGGCTTCTCTAACTTCCCAGGGGGCGATTAGGCTGGCGTGGCCAAGCCTATCCACGCCCCTCCTAGTCAGATAGAAGTGATCTGTTCGCTGTTGATATGGAATCAACAAGTATGCGACTTGTTCGGCCAGCAAGGTCGGACATTGAACTTACAAGGAGGACACTTAGGTCGGCACCCCGACGTTCGTGACCCGGGGGTCAGTCCTACTATCGCCTTGACCCGTCCAGTTCGCCCGGACTTGGGGAATAATCTGGTTACTCCCGCGGGGTTAGCCAAACAACAGGGGCGGACCCTGCATGATCCACCAGAACGGACCCGCACCGCCAACTCGGAGATGGCGAGAGTGCGAGCTGCTTGGCCAGCGATGTCGGGTCGCGAGCGCTCAAAGGGGGGACCCAGAGGTCGGCACCTTGGGCGCTCCCGACCCGGGGATCGGCCCTACTATCGCCTCAACCGTCGCGGTTAGCTCTTTACTTTAGAAAATTGCTTGGATTCTTGAAAATCGATGGGCCATTTTCAGTTCAAGAGCCTGACCGAGGTCGGCCAAACACCGAGGGGGGGCATAGTATCTTTTTTTTTTTTTTTTTTTTTTGCCGCCGCCCTTAATTGCTAAGTGAGGTCGGACCTCTTCTGAATGCAAAATATCGCTAGCAAAGTATATTGAATTCATAATGTGGGCGGACCACATGAAGAATTACAAATTGTAATCCTGTGCCCAGAGCACAGGAGTTCATAAAGAAAAGGTGACACTTCAGTTCTCTACTGATAAAACTTCATCAGATGCTCAGCGTTCCAGACACGGTCTACCAGCCGGCCTGTTGTCGTCTTCAATTTGTATGTCCCGGGTCCGACCACAGCATCAATCACGTATGGGCCTTCCCACTTGATGGAAAGTTTGCCTCCCTCCGCCGGCTTGCTGGCCTTCCTACGCCTTAAGACGTAATCACCAACGTCAAAACTCCGGGGCTGGGCTCGGCTGTCCTGGTACGCCTTGACTTGGCATCGATAGTTTTCTGCTTTGACGAAGGCCCGGTCCCTCCTTTCCTCAATGAGGTGGAGCTCGGCTCGGAGCCTCTCCTCATTGCTAGCTGGTTCGAACTCTTCCATTCGTCGGCTGGGGACTACGGCCTCGAACGGTGCCCTTGCCTCAAAGCCATAACACAAGGCGAAGGGGGTCTCTCCGGTTGCCTTCCTTGGGGTTGTTCTGAAGGTCCAGAGTATATTGTTCAACTCTTCCACCCAGGCAGTCCCAAGGGCCTCCAACTTCTTTTGCAACCCATCGACGATCGTCCTGTTAGTGTTCTCCACCTGTCCATTTGCCTGAGGGTAGCAAACCGCCACCCGGCTGGATTCTACGCCCCACTCTGCGCAGAACTGTCGGAAGGCTTCGCAGTCAAACTGCCTTCCGTTGTCGGAGATTATTTGGAGGGGAACTCCGAACCGGCAAAAAATATTCTTCCATATGAATTTCTTACACTGGAGATGTGTGAAGACTGACGATGACTGACGAGGGGGAGGACGTTGACGGACGGTGAGGCCGCTATGCTTGAAGTTGTCATCTCCTCAATGCGGGCAATTCTCGAAATGTGTTCGGGCAACCCCTGGGATAGCTTCGAGAGGAGATCAGCGTCCGAGTTTTGGTTTCTCGGGACGCAAACCAATTCTGCCTGCTTGAACAGCCCGAGCAATTCCCGGACCGCATCTCGGTACTTCGTCATCCTTTCTTCCTTCGCTTCGAATTCACCCTTAACCTGGGAAACGACCAAACGAGAGTCACATTTGACCGTTATCCATTCTGCCCCCATGGCGGCCGCTAGCCGCAGTCCGGACAATAGGGCCTCGTACTCCACCTCATTGTTGGAGACTTTGAAAAGATAACGGTAGGCATAGTAGGCCCGGAATCCCTCAGGGGAGATGAGGACGATTCCGCCCCCACATCCTTTTGCTCCGGCCGACCCGTCTGTTGCTAAGGTCCACCACTGCTCATTACTCTCCTGTTGTTTCTCTGTCACCTCTCGGGCTGTGCACTCCACGATGAAATCGGCCAAAGCTTGGCCCTTGATGGACGTCCGAGGCTGGAAGTCGACCTCGTACTGACTGAGGAGCATCGACCACTTCACCACCCGTGCTGTGCCGGGCGCCCTCAGGGCTGCCCCTAGAGGTTGTTCCGACAGGATTCGGATTGGATGCGCCTGGAAGTAGTGTGTCAACTTCTTCGCGGTGATGTAAGCGGCATAGATCGTCTTTTCGAGCGGGGTGTACCGGAGTTCGGCATTCTGGAGGGTTTTGCTTACATAGTAGACGGGACGTTGAGTGCCTTCCTCTTCACGAACCAGCACGGAGCTGATCGCGCCTTGAGAAACCCCAAGGTACAGGATCAACGTCTCCCCCCTTTCCGGCTTGCTGAGTAGAGGCTCGGAGAGGAGGTATTTCTTCAAGTCTTCGAAGGCTCGTTGGCACTCATCAGTCCAGACGAAACCATTTTGCTTCTTTAGGATCTGGAAGAAAGGTAATGATTTTTCAGCGGACTTCGACATGAAGCGCCCGAGGGCTGCTAGCCGACCGGTGAGAATCTGGACTTCTTTTACCGATCTCGGGGGCTCCATGTCAAGTATCGCCCTTACCTTCTCGGGATTTGGCTCAATCCCTCTTCGTGTGACCATGTATCCCAGGAACTTGCCTCCCTGGACAGCAAAGGTACACTTTTTTGGGTTCAGGCGTAGTCGCACTGCCTTCATGATCCCGAAAATCTCTGCCAAGTCATCTGCGTGGTCGGCCGCTCGGGTGCTCTTGACGATCATATCGTCGACGTATGCTTCCATGTTCCTTCCGAGCACCTTCCGGAATACTTTGGCCACCATCCTCGTGTACGTTGCCCCGGAATTCTTTAGCCCGAAGGCCATGACAAGATAGCAAAAAATTCCCTCCGGGGTAACGAACGAGGTCTTCTCCGCGTCATCCTCGTGCATAAAAATCTGGTGGTATCCTCGAAAGGCGTCCATGAAGCTAAGGAGCTCACACCCGGCCGTCCCATCAACTAGTTGGTCGATGTTAGGTAACGGGAACGGATCCATTGGACACGCCTTATTGAGGTCGGTGTAGTCGACACACATCCTCCAGGTCGGTGGCTTCGGGGCCAGGACCACGTTCGCCAGCCACACCGGGTATAGGACTTCCCGGATGTGCCCGATACTCAGGAGCATGCTGACCTCCTTCTTCACGAATTCCTTCCTCTCGATGGAAAGATGTCTTCTCTTCTGCTGAACGGGTTTCGCCGATGGGTCGACCGCCAACCGGTGGACAGCGATGCCTCGGTCGAGGCCGGGCATGTCCTCCGGCCCCCACGCAAAGACAACGCTGAAAAGGATCAAGACTCGGATGATTTTTTCCCTCAAGCCGGCCGGGAGGCCGGTTCCAATCTTGACCCTCCGTTCTGGCTTCTCGGGGTCAACCTGAATTTCCTCCACTTCCGAGGTGGGTTCAGCACGGAGCTGGCCCTCCTCATACTTCATGGCTTTGTTGTTGATAGTATGGACTCTCAAGTCCTTCTGGCCGATTTGCTTGCAAGCTTTTAGATAGCAGCTCCTAGCCATCCGCTGGTCTCCCCTAGCAACTCCGACACCATTCGGAGTGGGGAACTTCATGCACAGGTGCTCCTGGGATATCACACACCTCAGGTCCTCCAGGGCCGGCCTCCCCATGATGATCTTATGCGGACAAGTTAGGCGTACGACTATGAATTCGACACTTAACTTGGATACGCAGGGCTCGGAGCCCACTATCACAGGGAGGACTATACTGCCTTCCGATTCAATGGAGTCCCCAGTGAAGCC